CCCGCCAAAACCACTTGGTGATTCGGCTTCGGCCGGCCGGAGAGGGCACTCGGCACTTCCTTGCTGCTTGGAGGATTGTAGATAGACCACAGTTCAAAGCCACGGCTTCCCTGGCCAAGATCCATCTTGGGAAACCACACCCGGCCCCAGTTCTCCGACGCTTCAGAGTCACACTGTCCGGTTTCAAACCGCTTGCTGATGTATATCGCTGCCCGGCCCTCGAGTTTGAACACAAGGTGGTATTGTTGGGCAGCCAACAGTTACATGCTCAAGTAAGCTTAGATCAACCAAATGGTATTGAACAGATTGAGGTATGAAATGAAGCTTGAATTGGAGTCACGATTCCAGAGTGACCACACAAATGAAGGATCAAGATAGTGGGTTAGGGTGCCTCAGAATGTCCCTTTCTTATTAGAACAAATTGTCCTCTCTAATCCTCCCAGGGGAATTACCCCCTTATATAGAGACAGTGTGCCATGATATGACGTTTATGTCAGGAACTGCGTCATTGTGATGGATCTGTGTTGACTGAGAGTCTCGCATTGAACATCAGTGCTCAGTCCGTGAATCTTGGTGCCAAGGAACCCACTCAGTTCAACAACACCGGTGTCGCGGGCCGACTGAGGTCTATAAAGTAGGGTGTTGAATTCCATATGTTCCGTCATAGCGTGGCACAGGAGAGGTCTGGGGGATGGTGCGATTATGGAGCTATTTGCTCCTCTTCTAGAGCCTTCTAATGCCTTCCTGCGTTTAGCGAGTGCTTTATGTTTGTTGTGATCTCTCACGTCACGCTGGTCGTGGCTGCTCCACTCGTCGCGTAGGCGAACATCGAGGGCACCTCGAACGTCTCCACAGTCTAACGAATTCCCAAAGCATCCGCACCGTAAGCCAGGACAACGTCTGCTCTTCCTGTCGCAGCCTCCGACCCCTGTCACTAGGGCTTGGATATGGTCGCGGAGGGTGTCGACCCTTCGTCGATGTTGTAAGGGCTTTGTTTGGTCAGTTCCCGAGAACAATCAGATGTGGTCCTTCCGGACCTCAGATCGGATCAATGCGCCGCGCCCCGCAGTCGGGCGCCTGCGCTGCGTGAGCCCGAAAAGACCCGCTAAGCTCGCCGAACGCCAAGAAGTACAGTAGGAAGGAGAGAGACTTTTAGTCTCTAAAACGAAGCTGACAACACTAGATCAGCTGACCAACCCAACTACTCATCTGGCCCTTAGTAGCTTAATTTCAGGGATATACGAAGCCAAAATCTGGTATGCCAAGGGATCAGAAACTGGGTGCCTCTGTTAGTGCAGTCCGTTTCAAAGAAAACGGTGAAGCCGGCTATGCCGCAGGCTTCTGCAGCAAGTGCGGCAAAGCGGCCAATCGAGCACTGCATTCGGGCAGCCTTCGGGCACAGCCCCGCCCTACGCAGCAGGTGTCTCGCCCCACTAGGTTGCCAGGTCGAGTTCGAAAATATGCCAAGTCCCATGCCCAGCCGCAAGCATACGACGCCACGTCTGCTGGCTGTCTCGTTGTTCTGCACCTTTAGACAAAGTTATACTCAATGCCAACTTCTTTCAGCCTGCTGCAAAGGAGGTTTGTCGTAAAACTACTTTGCAACATTAGCAACAAACACGATGAGTACCGCAGTATCTCTTAGGCGCAACAGGTGAGCGCGGACCTTACGTCAGCGGCACTTGCCACCTCGCAACTGCTAATTCCATTTACCCCGCCCCACACGCAGTGACGATCTATGGAGCGACGCAGTTGCGCAGCTCAATGAAGAGCTGAGAAATATCATCGACTTCGACCGTCTGGGAAAGCGAGAGATCGTTTCCGAGCTGCTCAAACAGGCAAATATCAGCATCCAGCACTGCGAAGACAGAGCCTGGACGTTCGCGAGGGGGAAGAGCGGCGAGACGGTCATTGTTAGAGACGTCCTCGGCAAAGTAGTGAAATGGATTGACCACTTCAAGCAGATCGGAGACATTGCAGTACAGTATGATCCTGGCCACGCCGCTCTGCCGTGGGCTGGCGTTCGGTTTTTACTCGAGGTTTGTCTGCTGGGTGAATTCTGGGTGAGAAAGTCCGCGTTGACATACGGCAGATCGCCACCAAGGATGTCAAGACCTTCGCTTCCGTTGTCGAGCATATACCGTTGATAGCGGAGCTCATCTGTCGCAGTGCGCTTATTGAGGAACTCCTACTGCGGTCCTCCCTATCGCCGACGGCGGACGAGCTGCGGCAAGCGCTGGTCCTCCTCTACGTGAGGGTTATGGACTATCTCGCTCGTGCGAGGGCATACGTTCTTCAGCGTAGTGCCAGTTAGTGAACGCCCAGCTTTTAGAGAGAATGAAGCTGATTCGTGTAAAGAGCGTGTCCTGAAAAGTTTTTCGCTGGCAACCTCAGATCTCGACGAGTCCTTCAACGCCATCGGCGGTGCCCAGGAAAACGTTGATCGGTGTTTCAACTTAGCAAGCGTTCAAGGTCAGCTACGTTGTTGCCACGTCTGTTGTCGTGTATCTTCGCACCCTTGGGACTTTGCTAATGTGGACAACGCAGCCAATCTCGAGAGACATGAAGAGCTTAAGAGTATCCTCGCAAATTTTCAGGCTCCATTGAACCGCTGGAGCGAGCAGTTGACGAAAATCACGGACGATCTTGACGGTGAGTTCCGGCTTCCAGCTTCGAGTCGGTCAGCTGACGACTCCCAGGAAAAAAGAGAACCGATGTTCTGCACTGGCTGTCTGCCGAGCCATACCTCCAACACCATGAACAAGCGAAGGAAGGTATGCTCGAGGGAACCGGGCAATGGCTTCTCTCGGACCCTGTCTTTTTGAGATGGAAGGGAGAGAGTGCCTCCTCCATACTCTGGCTTCACGGCATTCCGGGGTCTGGTAAGAGCAAACTTGTGTAAGTGCTCGTGCTCGCCACATTACAGAGAGATTAAGAACCTAAACGAGTCAGGTCTGCTGTCGTTGAAGACGCCCTGAGAGCATACCTAGATAACCGGGGGCCCCAAAGTCCACCTCCAGCGTACTTCTACTGCTCTCGCAACCCCGCTGAACCCGGACGTTCCGATCCCAAAGAAATCCTAGCAAGCATTGCTCGTCAGCTCTCTTGTGTCGGACCCGGCCTTCCACTACTCCCGCCGACAGTGGCAGAACATAGAAAGCGCGAGAGAGAAGCCTTCGCCAATAAGTCACTACGGCTCCAAGAGAGTCGTGATCTTATCTTACAGTTGGCCAAGCACTACCCTGTGGTAATCATCGTGATAGATGCCCTCGACGAATGCAACCCAGCTACGCGGCGCCAATTCCTGATCGCAATGGAGTCTATCGTTAGGGATTGTTCCAGCCTCGTCAAGATATTCGTCTCTAGTCGTGACGACCAAGACATTGTCTACAAGCTCCAGGATTACCCCAATCTTGAGCTGTCATCAGACAAGAACCGGGACGACATCGCCAAGTTTGTTGAATCCGAGACGAATTCCATGATCGAGAGCGGAACTATGCTGCGATATAGCACAAGCAAAGAAGAACTACGGCAGAAAATCATCAAAGAGGTCACCAGCGGTGCGCACGGCATGTAAGTCTGTTCCCGAACTAATGAGGGTATGGTACTGAACAGCGCCATGGCAGGTTCCGCTGGGCTGCCCTGCAGCTGCAAGCATTGTGCGACCTTAGCTCCGATGCCGCGATTCGCGAAAGGGTAGGGCGTCTACCGCCTACACTTGAAGATCTTTATCGGGAATCCCTCGAGAAGCTCAACAACTACCACGCTGAAGCCGACCGCAAATACGCAAGGCGTATCCTTGGGTGGCTTCTCTGTGCCCGCAGAAAGCTCAGCCTGGATGAATTTCTTACCGCCGTCTCGATTGCGGTGCCATCAGGCGGTCTTCTACCCAAAGAACAAGTCTTGAGGCTCTGTCACAATCTCGTCATTTTCGATCAGGCGCTAGACACCTTCCGTTTCGCACATCTCTCGGTCCGAGAATTCTTGGAGAAACAGGCCGCATATGCTCCCTCTTTGATCAACGCCTGGGCGGCAGAAGCTTGCCTCCTGACGTTGATTCGTCGCGTCGACAATAAACCGTCAACTCACCTCCCTTCAGAGTGGCAGTATCACCTTGACCGGACCAACAGAATGGCCTCGTACGCAAATACATATTGGGCGCCACATTGCCAGGCAGCCGCCTCGCAAAGAAGTCGAATCCAACTGAAAACACTCTTATCTGGCTTCATGTCGAGCACAATAAGTCCGCGATCACCATTCTTTCTATGGACTATGCAATTGAACGATCTCTCATGGGTTATCGACTTCGAGGTTTGGGAAAGACTGCAAGATTGCCGCAGTACGCTGCAGCCTTCACCGATATTCACCGCGTGTGCCTTTGACATTTCTGAAGTGTTTGAACAAGTCAAAGATGGCTTCGTGGATGCTAGCCTCAGAAACGCTACAGGCAAGAGTTGTCAGCATATTGCTGCGCAATATGGAAGTTGCGGGGTACTGAGGATACTAGTGGCAATTCAATCAATTAAGATCACCGGGGAGGTGGTCAAGGCTGCAGCCGGGAATTGGCGGAATGGGAAAGAGGTGATGGCCCTTCTCCTTGAGAAGCGAGGAGACGAGGTCAAAATCACAGAAGAGGTGGTCAAGGCTGCAGCCGGGAATCGGCGGAATGGGAAAGAGGTGATGACCCTTCTCCTCGAGGAGCGAGGAGACGAAGTCGGAATTACAGAGGAGGTGGTCAAGGTTGCAGCTGGGAATGGGGGGAATGGGAGAGAGGTGATGGCCCTTCTCCTCGAGAAGCGAGGAGGCGACGTTAAGATCACAGAGGAGGTGGTCAAAGCTGCAGCTAGGAATGTGTGGAATGGGAGAGATGTGATGGCCCTTCTCCTTGAGGAGCGAGGAGACGAGATCGAGATTACAGAGAAGGTGGTCAAAGCCGCAGCTAGGAATGAGGGGAATGGGAAAGATGTGATGGCCCTTCTCCTTGAGAAACGAGGAGGCGACGTCAAGATCACAGAGGAGGTGGTCAAGGCTGCGGCCAGGAATAGGAGAGAGGCGATTGCCCTTCTCCTAGAGAAGCGAGGAGACGAAGTCGAAATTACAGAAGAGGTGGTCAAAGCCGCAGCTAGGAATTTGTGGAATGGGAAAGAGGTGATGGCCCTTCTTCTTGAGAAGCGAGGAGGCGACGTCGAGATCACAAAGGAGGTGGTCAAGGCTGCAGCTGAGAATAGAGGGAATGGGAAAGAGGTGATGGCTCTTCTCCTTGAGGAGCGAGGAGACGAGGTCGAGATCACAGAGGAGGTGGTTAAGGCTGCAGCCAGGAATCGGCGGAATGGGAAAGAGGTGATTGCCCTCCTCCTCGAGAAGCGAGGAGACGACATCAAGATCACAGAGGAGGTGTTCAAGACTATAGCCGGGAATAGGAGAGAGGCGATTGCCCTTCTCCTAGAGAAGCGAGGAGACGACGTCGAAATCACAGAGGAGCTGGTCAAAGCTGCAGCTAATGTGTGGAATGGGAAAGAGGGGATGGCCCTTCTCCTTGAGAAGCGAGGAGACGACGTCGAGATCACAGAGGAGGTGGTCAAGGCTGTAGCTAGGAATGAGGGGAATGGGAAAGATGTGATGGCCCTTCTTCTTAAGAAACGAGGAGGTGACGTCAAGATCACAAAGGAGGTGGTCAAGACTGCAGCTGATAATAGAGGGAATGGAAAAGAGGTGATGGCTCTTCTCCTTGAGGAGCGAGGAGACGAGGTCGAAATTACAGAGGAGGTGGTCAAAGCCGCAGCTAGAAATGAGGGGGATGGGAAAGATGTGATAGCCCTTCTCCTTGAGAAACGAGGAGGCGACGTCAAGATCACAGAGGAAGTGGTCAAGACTGTAGCCAGAAATCGACGAAATGGGAAAGAGATGATGGCCATTCTCCTCGAGAAGCGAGGAGGCGACGTCAAGATCACAGAGGAGGTGGTCAAAGCTGCAGCTAGGAATGAGTGGAATGGGAAAGAGGTGATGGCCCTCATTCTTGAGAAGCGAGGAGACGACGTCGAGATCACAGAGGAGGTGGTCATGGCCGCGGCCGGAAATGAATATTGTGGGGATAAGATCATGGCATTCCTTCTTCGCCAGCGGCTATCTTCTGTCAGGGCCTCTATTACGGCGGAGGTATATCTGACTGCATCTGCGTGCGGCCAGCTCGCTGTGCTTGATCTCCTCTCTCGTCATTTCAGCCACTGTCCCATTAAAGAGGAACTGGTTACAACCGCCAAGTTTTACCTGGCCGCCAAGAACGGAGACATTCGGTTGATCAAGAACTTCCTGGATAAGAACATCTACCCGGATACAGCCAACATCAGGGGGGAGACACCTTTATGGATTTCTGCAGCAAGGGGTCACACGGCAGTCGTCGACATCCTTCTAAAGACGCAGAAAGTCAATGTAAACACAAGATCTGTTTCGGGGAGGTCACCAATCTTTTGGCCATCTGCCCGAGGTTTCGACAGAATCGTAGCCATGCTAATAGACGCTGGAGCACGCGCGGACTTCGTCGACGAAGAGGGGCAAACGGCGATATCGATGGCTAGGAAACATGGCCACTGGGGTATTGCCCATCTCCTTGGTCGACTGGAATCTGACGAAGAGGTGTACCGGTCGGCCGATAATAAAGAGAGCATGTCAGCGACGGGAAGAGAAAACCAGTCAACAAAGGGTTTTGTCGACAAGTCGACCACTACAACCCGCAGTTGTAGACGAGTTTATTGGGCTCTGGGGACTCTCAGCGCTTTGGTGTTATTCCTCCTCGTCGGCTTTCAAGGAGTTCTGAAAACCTGTGAGTCCAGCAGGAGTTCGCCGGAGGAGGTGTGAAGAAGCCGGATCAGCTTGTCCTCTGTTTCTGGGACGTCAAAGAGTGAATGAAGGCTGCCCAGCGGTAATGTAATTGTCTCTTTTGGACTGGTACGAACTATAATTGCTCTGTTTTCGATTTGCTATACTTTAACCTGAGCCGGCTCCAGGCGAGAAAGTCCATTTTGGAGGATTGAAGGAAGTGATGCTGCCTCGCTTGGCATTGCGCCTGTTACCTATGTAGGAGGATGCCGCTCCCTTCGTCGTGTCTGGCCCGATGCTGCTGCCCAACCGCGTAGGCAAACTTGTGCCCACTGCATTGAGGCCGACAATCGGTGACTTGAGGGCCGCGATTCAGCTGCTGCGCCATGGAGCCACACAGGTCGTCGTCCCTGACTTGTCGATCGGCGCTGCACATCGAAACCCTTGCAGACCTGCAAACCATCACGAATTTCTCGTGCTGTCTTTGTTTATGTACATGCAGCAGAGACGGCAAACCCCTTGGCCTTGGATGTGTTTTCTGGTTGCCTTCGTGTGCCCTGCCTGTACCTTACGTGTACACTATACCTTATGTGGTGCACGGTCCCTAGCAATGGATGCACTGAGGCTCACAGGCATATGAAGTCCCTATATGCCAAACGGGACTTCTCTGTATAATTATCAGCCTTTGCTACGGCGAACCAAAAGGGTCAAGACAAGCAGTTTTTTATCTCCATCGGAAACCGGCTTGTGGCGACTTGATCAAGCTGAAGAACATGCTCGACCAAGAGATGAGGGTCGCCATCCTCAAACTGGCTGGAAAGACGGGGAGACGAAGGGATGGAGAGCTGTTAGGTAAAGAGAGCTGTTAGGTGAATGGTTTAACTTCTGCCGCGGGATGCTGAAAGGGCGTTCACACGTGTATACCATGCCATGATTGGGCTGAGACTCAGCTGAGGTGGTCCATGCCTCGCCCCGTGAGCTTGCCTCCACATACCCTATCTTGCGCTCGGACTACCTCACTTGCATACAACCACGCACGTTGAATCCTGATCAACGATCGATCGACCTTGGCTGCACCAGCGATGGCTTTGAAGACGACCTCTGGCTCGCCGGCTTTGCCCGCATCGCCTACCTCTTCTAAGGACGAGCGTCACGCCGAGCTGGTATCTCACATTTTCTTTTGTTTCGTGTCGTTGTGCAGATGGCGATTGCTGACACCTCTTAGGCTTGGTTGGAGGTTTCCACGATTGACGAGATCCTCGACTTATCGTTACCTCTCGCCAACTCGGCACTGAGTCAATTATCGGCTTCCACTGGCAGGCGAGCCAAGTGGACGATTTATCTGAGCAGCTGGACGCCCGGCTGGTTGAACTCGACCACCGAGCATCCGACGGTTCGAATACGACTACGAATTTGAGACGGTATATCTCGAAATCATGAAGGTGATTACGCGTCTCCTCCTACAGTTCAGTTGCTATCAAGTTCCTTTAACTGTTTTGCTTGCAACTTATGGTCTTTACAGCCAATATGGCCCAATCGTACTAGAGCACGGACGACAATCGGGGTGGGTGTCTGGGAGGGACAGTGCGAGCCAATGTTTATTTCTCGAAGAGACGTAGCTACTACCTAGAATCTCGACGCAGTGGCCCTTGAATATCCCTCGAACCCATTCCCTGACACCCCGCCTTCCATCACTGGCCGCCACCGTCTGCCTTACTGCTGTTGCCAACTCGGTGACCCAGAATGCGCCGAAAAGCGTCCGTACGCTTCTCGTGGCGCTCGTTGATCAGAGTCTCAGCCTCACTATCTTCTGCCCAGAGCTCGGTCCAGTAGCAAGGAAACCGCTGGCCGGGTCTCCAGACGCGGCCACAGGCCTGCTTCGAATCGGACTCGACGAACGGCAGGTCGAAGAGGATGGCGTGGTTCGCCTTCTTGAGGCTATCGAGACCGGTGCCGCAGGTGCCGACAGTGGCAATGAAGAGCGTGGGCTTTGCCGGGCAGTCGATCGGAATGTCTCGGAAAGCACCCTCGATGGCCTTCTTCCCGTCCGCGGTAGCTGCCGAGAGCACCATGACAACCTCCCACTCGCTCGACCAGTGCTTCTCCGCGTACGCGGCGATGATGAGTGCGACTCCCGGACGCGAGGCGAAGACGCAGGCGTGCTTCTTCAGTGGCGCTTGGCCGGCAATTCCCGTATCGCCCATATCCACGTCATGGAGAGGCTGCTCCATCTTTCCGCTGCCGCGCGTGATGACGTCGATGTATTGGCCGACAACGTGGTTGGCGCGGCCCTCCTTCGTAGTGATGGCACCTTTATCGTGTTGCTGTTCAGCCATGCGGCTGGGTCCGACGAGATATCGTCGGGCAGGTCGACGATACCTGGAAACGATCCGAGCCAGAGCGTCCGCATGAATGACTGGCGAACTGAAAGAAGCGATCCCGCATCGCAGCGTTAATCGCGGGCGTTTGTTTCTCAAACTTGGCGCGGGCCTCCTGGCTCCATGCGGTCGTTAGCAAGCCCATCTTGCGCAGGAAGTCCTCCTGCTGCGCCCTAGAAGATCTGCAGGGGATCCGTTCGTGGTGGAGTGGCGGGAGCGGCAGCAGCACCTGACCGTGGAAAAGGTCGGTTGTCGTGCGGAGCGTCATGACTCGCCCGAGTAAGTCGGAGCACGTATTCATGGCCTCCTGGTATCTGTCCATGTCTCTCGGTAGGCCGGTCTTCGTAGCAGCGTCAATCGTCTGCGCGGCGGTACAGGACGCGGTCAAGTCGTCGGGCGGTACGATGAGCGACAGTACCTCTTTGAGACTTTGCTGTAGCGATACAGAGATCGGCGTGGCACTTAGTACCGCCAGTTTGAAGCGGTTAGACGGGCCGACTTGGCTCCGGAGCTGCTGCAGTGTCTGGTAGACGACAGTCGAGGTACGCTTAACAAGGTGGAACTCGTCTAGGACGACGAACCTAGGGGCCACCGCCCATGAGGCAAGGTACAGCCGTAGCGACTTTCTCTGCTGCTGCGCCAAGTCGTAGGCCCGGGCAAAGCAGTTGCGGCTACCGCCCTTTGACGAGAGCGATGCCGGGCTGCTACCTACGACCACGAGCCGGTGCCTGAGAAAAAGCCGCTGCGCTTGGTTTGCTGTATACCCCATGTCGGAACCCGAACCCGGGACAAGCACAGGCGATGCCCCCTGGTGGCCCTTCTTGGGTAGAGCGTAGACGGGTCGTGCACCCAGGAAATGCGTCAAGATGTCGCTTTGGATGTCTCGTGAAAGGGTGGAGCCTGTGCTCAGGTCGACAGTGTCTACGAACGAAAACCGTTGACGGCTATGGTGGCCGTTGTCCGATCCGGGCCGCTCTACCTCCTGCTCCAAATACCGCTTGGCCTCCCGGGCGAACTGGCCGGCAACGCTAGACGGCGTGAAAACGAGCGACGGACCGGGTCCCAGCTGCCGGGAGATGTCCAAGCTGAATGAGTCGGCTACGCAGCAGCACTCGATGCTCCATGGGTTGCCCGAAGGACAGGGTCCTGTGACACCCTGGGGATTATGCCGGCGATGCGTAGCGACTCCCGCGTTGTCGGTCGCAGTGGCGCCCCACTCCTGTCTAACCTCGTAGTAGTTGAGTTTCAGCGGCCTTATGACGGCGACCGCAGCCAGGCTGACGATGGTTTTCCCCAGCCCAGTGTCGAGCGCCACGATGCCGCCGTTGAAGTGACCGCCAAAGCTCCGCTCCAACAGCGCGTAGACCGCCTCCATCTGGTGAGGGTGAAGGCACAGTGTCGTTCCGGGCAGCTTGACGCCCTGGTCGTATGCCGTGTGTGGTTTGTCGTGACAGAAGAACCTGCACGTCCTCTCCCAAATCTCCGAATCGTCAGAAACATGAAGAACGGCACGGAGATCCCGTAGCGGGTTCATCTCGTCGGGAATCGCGTCGTTATCGTCTGCCTCGCTGCCCTGGCCATCTTCGTCCAAGCCCGACTCTACTTCGTCGCGCCCCGTGAGGGTAGAACGCCGCTCGAATAGAAACTGCACATCCGAGTCGTCACCTGAGTCCGTCGGCGCGTCTTCTTGTTCGCCTTCCGGACGGTACCCGTCCCTGTCGTCGTTGTCCTTGTTGCCGGCTTCATTCTCGGCACCCCTCGTAATATCAATGTGGGCAGCCTTGGCGTGGATGGGCACGGCCTGTTGAGTCGCAAGCGGTTCATCTCTGGAGCAATCCAGGCAATCATCGCTCTGGCGATAGCCTGCACCCTCCCGCTCGAACATGATAGTGTTATTCATATTACTGGCCTTGGCTGCAGGGCTCGTCTCAGTCATTGCACTATCTTCCCCCGCCCTCTCGCACATGGTGGCGTCGACTGCATTGCTAATGCTAGCTGCAAGGCTCGTACCGGCCGTTGCAAGGTTTTCCCTCTCTGGCTCGGACGTAATATTGTTGCCTGCATCGCTGGTCTTGGCCGCAGGGGCTCGCCTCGGCCGTCGTATGAACTTGACCCTCCCGCTCGAGTACGGTGGTGTTGTCAGCATCGTTGATGTCAGCTACAGAGCTTGCCTCGGCTGTTGTGGCCGAGGAGACATTCCGAACAACAAGCTCGAGCAAGGGAAGATTCGCGCTCCCGTCCTATCGGGTAGCTGCGCACTTGTCAAGGTGGAGAAGGAGAACCCTCAGATCACCGGCCGATCCGATGTCATACCGACCCGAGGCGATGCCGTCGCCTAAGCCATCCTCGCAGTCAGAGGCTTCGTTACAACCGTTGCCCATCCCAGGTTCACCGCCGGCCGCCGGCTCCACATGCGCCGCCAGAACTTGCGGCGGAACCTCAGCATTGTCGTGCTCTGCGCTACGGGCGACGAGGTCCTGAAACATTTTATCGCAGTCGACGTATTCGGGCAGTAGCTGGTCGCTAGTCGCCGCCGCCGCGTAATTGACAACCCAGTGGGTCAAAATGTCGGCGTATAGTGTCTGTCGGCTACCGTCGGGTTTTTCCTTTCGCAGTAGGACCTGGACATCCCGCAAATTGACGCGCCTGGTAGTTCTTTCTTGGCCCGGCGAGCACTAATCTCCAAGCGTCAGTCGTCTGCGCTTCACGTCCTCCTCGTCTATCTTGTGGGTCGTGCCAAGACAGAGAGCTGGCAGCAGCCGTTTTGCAGCTCCGGCGCGCGGTCGATCGTCCATGTCGGCGGGCAGGTGTTCCCAACGGTGGGAGTGGTCGAGTGTATATGTGCGGTAAGCTGTACCATCCCTGTAAGCGTCCGGTTGTCTGTGCAGGACTTTATGGAGGCTCAATGCGTGGTGCTTACCAGGCACCGCCGCTTGCCTCGCGCAACAGGTTGGCTAATGGTGAAAACTGCCGCCCTTTATAGGAAGTGAATCGCGTGCTGGCAATCGGCGGGGTCTTCCATGCCGAGTGCGTCGAGGTGCGACGACTATTCGAGTCGGTCAGTATGTCGTACAATCGCAATCCTGAGGAAAAATGTGCCGAATGATGCTCGTAGCTCAGCTTACCTAGTCCCCGACCCTCTTGCGACCAGACCCTGTGCAACCCTACGCGCTCAGCGGGTAACAGTGGTATGGATCTCAGAAAGTCGAAAACAGAACTCAACGCGGCGATTGAAAGATGGGCAGAGTCCAAACCGAGGCTCGGTTGAGGGTTCGAGTGGGGTCTGTTCCAAGGCGGGAGGGCGGAGAAGGTAGGTGTCAAAGGGCCCAATAGAAACTGGCCCGTGCGGACAATCTTTTAACATCAAAATCTGGATTTAATTTGTTGCGGGTGACCACGTGACCCCGTGGCATCCCTCTTCCATCTTCCATCCAGCCCACCTGCCTTTGTCGCAAAGTAGCCCCAGTCATGGGCTATGCTGCTAGTGTCTGGATGCATGCGCGCAGGGAGAAGGCACTGAGCTGGCCGAACAGAGTGCATAAGATCGGGGCCCTAGCCATCATAGGAGATGTAGCAACGGCGGTTGCAGTAAGTGGAAGCAAGTATCCGGCGGTACAAGAGCGGCATGCGCTAGGAGCCATTAGGCTATGGATCAACATTCATACACTGCATAAGACATATCTCTTTGCTATAAAGAAAGTCCGGGCAATAGCAAGATTCGTCACCCTACTTCAGCTCTGTCTGTTAGATCAATTCAACCACTATACAGCTCCCTCAAGTGCATCACCGCTTACATCATCTCGCTCGAGCCAACTGGCGATGGCAGGCACCTCGTTTATGTCACCACGCATTCTGAAGGACTGGCCGTATTGATCCTCGTCCAGAAACAGGGCGAAGCACTTGTCGAATGTCTGAAACGGCGGAGCCCTCTTGTCTGCTCCGTCTCGGACGATAAGCTCATGATTACCCGGCCCGCCGCGGTCGCCCTCGCAGTATTGTTGGAAAAGGGACGTGGCCGCGCGGTGCGTTACGGAGGCGGCCCCGATGTCGCAGGGTATATACGTTGGGTGGCCGGTGGCTTTCCAAAAAGGACGTTCGTTTTGGGTTGGCAAACGCAACACCCGGTCCGGGGACACGAACGGGGTCTCGTCCGGCGAAACATCGGGTGAGCGCTGGGTTGAATCAGCTGAGTCCAACTGCAGTCGTGCACCAGCGGAGTTGTTGCGTGTTCGTTGAGGGGGCAAGGGGGGCTGAACGGGAAATGCGTGTGGCTGACCCTTTCGCCAAGAGAAATATGGACTCATCCATTCATTTGCTGATCTGCAGGCGACATTGGAGCCAATCAAAGAGAGCTATAGGGACACTTAATTCAGGTAGCTTGACACCATTTGAACTCAAACATAAGGGGGGAGGCGCTACGTCCGATGCCCAATCGAAACAGCCAGGGCAGACTGAGCATCAGGCAGCTAATTGAACTGCCCAGCGCACCTCCCCTTCTTAGCCAAGCAGCGGGTTCTTGTGATGACTAAAAGCGGTTCCTGGCTCTGAAATAAGGGACTTGGTAACGCATATCTTGCAAGGAGTGCGTGGCGCAAAAACTGGCTCATGTCTACAGGTGGCTAGGAGCCAGTTCTGGAGGCTGACGGCATGCCGGATAGGTCGAGGACGGCGAAAAATACGGCGGAAAAAAACAGCGAGAAGAATAGTGAAAAATGCAAACACTGCAAGAACAATGGAACAGCAACCGAGGCGTGGGCAAGAGGAGACGAGAAAGGGTTGCCGTTTCGGGCCAAGCCCGCCCGAGAAATTTGGGAAGCCATTTCTGGCCTTAGCCAAGACAGCAGTTCACTGTCCTACCTACCCCTTGCTGCCCAGGCCAAATGGTTGCACTGCGAGACCTATAGCCGGTCACCCTTGCTGTTGCCAGAGCCGGAAATGGCTTCAGAAGGCCACAACCACACTGCATGTTCATGCTCCACTTATATTGGCTTCAGGTTTCGACTCTCTGTCTCTGTGGGGCCCGCTTGGTATGCTTCCCTCTCGGCGGCTAGCGGTGCTCGATTCTCTGTAAGGCGCTGATTCTGAACCTAGAGAAGCCGGAGGATCGGCTCCGTTGGATTGCACCCTTGCCCGTCCCCGCCTATGGCGCCGTATAGTATCTCTTCAAAGCTGTTTCCCCGGTGCCAAGTCCCGTAGGGGATGTCGGTTGTAGTTGTCAATTCTCCCTTCTCAGAAGGTCGTCATCACTTAGGTATGTACCTTTTCTACCACTTAGGTGCGTACACTTTCTGACATCTAGGTACGTAGCTTTTCTGCCATTGAGGTACGACTCTCTTCTGCTATCTAGGTACGTATCTTTCTGCCATTGAGGTACGTACCGTTTCTGCCATTTAGGTACGTACCGTTTCTGCCACTGAGATACGTACCTTTTCTGCCATTTCGATACGCACCTGTCATCTGCCTCAACTGCTCCCTGAGCTCTCGCCAACGACCATTTGCACAGTGTATTCCTTTACACACGACCACCGCCATCACACTTTCATGTTCACACAGCCTCAACCAGCAAATTCTGTCTTAACTGCCAAAAATAGGACGCTGAACACTTGGAGAACGTAGCCTCCCAAGTTGATCTGCTCACAGATTAGAGGAGAGGTATGGGGTAACGTTGATAGAAGAGAAACATAGAGGCTTCGAGCAAGAGGCCAAAGGCCTTTAGGTTTAGTACCTCGGTGTCACAAATGAACCAACGAGAGTCAACAATGGCGGCTTACTTGCAGAAGCCAGTGGGGAACGTAGGACGTTCTGAGCCAATCACTTAAAACCAATCGGAACGAGTCCTAGAGGTGCTCCAGAGAGCTCTCAGGAGCATGAGAGAGCACCAGTGCAAGGCCGATCAGAGGGCGCTCTAAGAGGCTCTTGAGAGCACCATAGAGCATTGGCTCTAGGTGGCTCTAGAGAGCACGAGAGAGCAACCAAATGCATCTAGTATATAGTCACTCGTTCTGGAGGACTCTGGGAGTTCTCCAGTAAGCAACTCAAGTGCAAGATTGTCAGTACCCTTGGACATTGCTTGTTGTGAACCCTTTGGCTTCACCGAACCTCACCCCGTTGTCAAGTATAATCTTCAGGAGTCCCTTTCAGAAGTTGGGGCTTTGAGATTCGTCACATGGCAGAAAGAGTACATATCTAGATACATGTGCTCACTAAGGTACGTACCCTTTCTGCCGGCAGAAAAGATACGTATCTAGTAGTAGTGTAACGAACACCACCCAAGGTGTTGGAAAGCCAACAGCCACGAATGTGCCGCACCGTAGTAGTTGGGTACCAAAAGGATGGGCAACCACTCAATTGATGATGATGTACCTGTCTG